TCCTGACCTTCCCATCCTTCCTTCGTTCTGCCAGGAAAATGAATACAAGCAGCCACCTCCCTTCCCTCGTGCCATGCACTTTGCAGCGCTGCCTGGGTGTCTTGGTCGCTTTCAGACCAAAGCTGTGAATGCTGAGAAGCCTCATGGACTGTAAGACATTCTGTCTATTGCTTCAGTAGCAAAGGTTCAAGCAAGATACACCGTCTTAGCACGTTTACATGTTGTTTACTATAAAGATGCTCCATGTTGTTCGTCAAAACTATGGTCTTCAAATGTCTTCAAGACAATTCAGAAATAAAACAAATACTGGATGTAGTTTAATGTTGTTTCGTTGTTGAATCTTTTCTGGAGTATATAGGCTCCAATGACAGAACATGTCAGTAGATTCTCGCTACCCCAATTGCCTCGAGGCATCCAGTGCCTGAGAAGAAATACCCTCGGCAGGCTCTTTCGGGACTTTGATGCATGAGAGATTCTAACAGAGTTGGTGTCCGTTATAATGGTGTCCGAGATGGAGCAAGTTTCTAAACTTCCTATATAGATGTTTGGCTATTAACGTTGGCTCATTTTGGCTCTATTGATTCAACGGAACCTGTTATCGGTTTCTGTTCAACACTGGAAAGACCAACAACCTGCCAGAAGATGAGACAAGGTGTAAGCAGGAAGTGAAGGAACGCTCCCGGATCGTTTCACGTCCGTGTTAGTTCTAGTGCCCTTCTCAAGAGCTGTGCAGCGTGTGGAACTGTTCGAGGCCTTGGAGCAGCAACGGGAAGTTCTGCGAAAGCCGTGGCCCGAGATCATTGGCACCGAGCTGTCAGACGTGGTGCAGGAAAGCGCCCAAGCAAATAGGGAGCTGTCGATCTCATGGTCCAAGCAAATAGGGAAGATGAAAATGCGGAACCTGTTGAGCCTGGAAACGCCATCCGCTGACGGAAAGCACCGGAAGGATGGCATCCGACAGGTTTAGACCAGATCCGCCTCCTCCGAAGCGAGGAGCTTAGTGGCGTGCGTTTCGCAAAAGGAGCCGTGGTGAGCGACAAGGACATGCTCAAATGATTAAATGCTGTCCATTTGATCCATTTTCTGTATTGTGAGATGCGAGCATCACCGAATCACCCCCTTGTAAATGCATCATCCGCATAGAGTTTAGGTGTTTCATGGTTTTGGCGTCCTCCTGGTAGTCTCAGAGCTGTTTTTTTTAGCAGGGACAACGTGTGTGGTTTTCAATAGTCTGACACTTTGATCGAGAACCAGGAGACCCAGGAAACATGTTTGTAGGTTCGAGGGCGCAGGAAACTTGAGCTGTCGACTTTTCTCATTCACGTCGTGGTTCGTTTGGAGTCTGCCTTGGATTGTGGCGACATTCCAAGGGGAAAGAGCTTCGGCAAGGGTGGCAAAGGAATGGCAGGGGCCCTGGCGTGGCCTTGGCCTTCGTCCCATGGTTGAGGTCTCACGTTTCGTTTCAGCCTTCACAAAGTCACCGAACCATCAAAACATCAAAGATGAGGCTTGATAGTTTAGTCTGTGTAGCATGACAGGTGCATTGACACGCTGCGGCGGTCTCGAAATCGATTCGGTGGTCTCGACATCGAGATTGATTCACAAGCAAGGTCACAGTTCAAGTGCACAGTTTGGAACTGTTGGAAGATCTTGGAACCAAAAGTCTTTACAGAAAAAAAACTCCATGACCGGAATCCATGACTCCATACACATGCAGTCTATGCGGTCTAAGCGGTGTAAGCGTGAGCCGTTCTTGTCACCCAGCGGGTTTCGCTGGTTCAGGTAGCTACCATGTGTAGCAGAACGTCACGAAATGATGCAACCGGTTTGCCGCAGATTCTGTTTTTGTTGGAACCTTCGAGGCGGTGAGCATGTCATGAGGTGAATTGGAGGGAAAAACGTCACATCAAAACACTCAGCATGTCATGGACTCATGGTGATTCGGAGACTCAGCATATCTTGTGGATCGGCTCACCGGTGACCCAAGTGAAGTTGGCGCGCATCGGGCGACATGAAACGTCCTCCAGCCGCCCAGATGTACATGGGCTATGACCAGGGCATGGGCATGGGATGGAACAACTGGGGTTGGGATGGTGGATGGGTCGGGCAGCTCAGACGCGGGGTGCACGGCGCTTGCCGTGGGGGATTGGCGCCCAGGGGACATCAAAAAAGCCCGTCCTTTCCCAGCGAAAAGATCGGGAGGGCGGAAGAGCCAATGATTGAATAGCCAAACTCAACACAAGTGTATTTGGGATGTTTTTGGATGCTAGTGTTCTTGATTGACCCCTTCTCGTGAAGTCTTGTTGATGCAGAATAATCTTCATCTAAAAAAGATAGACCCAGCCCAGATATCCCGATATAATCCGATATATACTCTCACCCACCATTGGTCGCTACTACTTAAGTTGGCTGGAGAACCATGGTGTCCGTGAGTGTCCCAACCCAAAGACTAGGGTCGTCAACCTCAGAGTCCAATACAAATCCATATCGGTTGTAGTATAACTTATCGTATACTGTCATTTTATATGGAACGTTTCGTCTGTAGTTGGTTTTTATATGTTTTTATAGCCCCACCCAAAAACGAAAGTGTCAAAACCTGAAAAACGATCGGTGACGCCCTAATTTACTTATTATGAATACAGCCCATATTTTGACGCTGGCTCCAACTCTCTCCCATCCCCATCCGCCCAGGGCATGAAGGGAGGAGGATGCCAGAGACCCAGAGTTGAAGTCGGATCGAAACACGCCGAACACACATCGCCGAGGGTTAAATGAAAGTTGCAAGACCTCAAGGGTGCTTGGGGTGTTTGTATTTGCTTAGTTTGCTGTCTCCGCTTAGTCGTATCTCGCCCCTACAGAATGGCCACCAAAATGGCCTCAGGGTAGGGGCCCTACAAAAGATTCAGAGTGCAGACTATGCATTGCCAAAACGAGACTGATTATCAGGGGATCGGGTAAATAGGGGAAAATGAAGAGAAGACGACAACGACGACAGTGACAACAAGGAACAGACAAAGATTGCAACCTGGTGCAATCCCCTTGCTTCTTCCTAATTGAGGGGGAAAGACTGCAGCCTCTTGGATTATGGACCAGATGTCCGTCCTATCAAGCGATTTGGGGACCGATTCAGACACCCAGCCTTGGTTCTTTGGGGTCTAAGACTCTTCGGTTGATGGTTTTAAGGTTTGTTCCATTGCGTTGAGGTATAGAATGAGGGAATCTGGTTACAATAAGTGGGTGTGTACAGTGTACATACTTCTATATACTTTACTCCCAAGATGCCACAAGAACACAGCCCTTTTGTGTAGTCGGTTCTCAAGGTGTTTTTGCTGAGACATCCCAACTTGATTCTGAGAGACGCACTGTCAATTGCCGCTGAGGGGGCAAAGGCAAAGGCGCTCCCTGCCATTTGCGACGGCAGCATGGACAGCATAGGACAACAGCATTAAATTATATATCATTGCAATAGTCATAATATAGTTACATATCATTTCTCACCAGCATTAACAGGCATTGGACACCAGAATGATTCCGAGCACAGTTGAAACAGATCCGAAGTGCGAGCCCACGCATGCCATCGCATTTTCCCTCGATGGAATTGGATTCATTGTTAGACCAAAGGTTGTCTATGTAGAGTCTACTGGAAGAAATGTTGGCCTTAGAAAGGCTTTGTCAGGCGAGTGCACAAGCTGGGTACTTCTGACTTTCATGTGCTTCCGCTTTTTGGGGTGGAAAGAAAGTCCGAACAATAATACCATCTTTCAGCCAGGCAAGAAAGGCTGGGACAGCTGGGAAGGCGCGCCGCGCAGACGCGGTCCGTGCGGACCCTGCGGATGCCGAAGAAACGATCCACCGACATCCATCCAGCGATCAACTCCCTGTGGTTCTCGTCAGTAACACTGAAGCATGGCACCCCTGGGCCACTGTAGTGGATGTCCTGAGAAGATGTTGATTCTGTTGTTCATATTACATGATCTGCAACACTAGGACTAGGACTGATAACCTGATATTGGTCAAAACAACACCTGGGTCAAGCCTGTCGATGCCAACAGTTTATTCTCCTGAATTCTCCTTTGTTTCTCCCAATAATTGAACAATGCCATGAAAGCATGTCCTATGCAAGCAATCTGACTCAAGACTCTGGAAATTAATAGCCCCATTGGCAAGGTAGCGTCATTCAGATTCAAATCGTCAGAGAGAACATTGCAAACTGATCCGTCAGAGAGAACATTGCAAACTGATCCGTTGGAATCCATGCATTCGACACGGCAAGTCAGCCGTGTTGAGGCATGCCATACTGAGATGATGTGAAATGCCATATGCAGCAAAAAGGCTCACTTTGAGGTGCAAAGGCCATTCGGCCATTGGGATTCTTGACGCACCTACCAAGCCGCTGAGATAGGGGCTGGTGAAGGGTATTTGATGGTCAATGATAGGATAAACCAGTCAGGGACAAGCAAAGGTTGAAGTGGAAGATGTGCTTCCAAACACTGCGAGCATTCTGGCCGTTTGCTTGTTTTTTTTCTGGAGAGGTGGCTTACAGCTGTACAGAAGGATATCCTTTAAGAAGACACCGCTACCCAGCATCACAGCTCCAGATCAGGTGTCTTGGATGGGTGTCATCAATTCTGAGGGATTCTTCATGGGCGGTCCCATGCTTCAGAATTCTGCGTGAAAAGCATCTTGGCTCAGCTAAAATAGTTACATTGATCAACTGATTTGTGTTTGTCGATCTGTAATAGACAACACAGACCAAGGCACCGGACACTACAGAAAAACTATGCACACACTAAGCACAAACACATGCAACTACAGGTACTTGAGGCCTTAGAAAAAGTCCTTGCCATGTGCTTGAGTGGTACCAACAAAGTACTCAAAGGGAACGAGGATGTGGAACTTGATCGATTGCTCGTCAGGACGACCAGCCAGGCTTTGCTTTGTTTGCCATCCCTTCCCCTGAAAACATACGATAGCACTCATCACACTCAATATCTCCATTCCAGCAGCAGACTTCGGTCCGCGTCTTTCGCGTCCGCGTTTTGCCTCCCCAGTATGGTGGAACCAGGCGTGGTTATTGTGGGCATCATGGGAGGTCACAGGTCCAGTCAGCTTGCAAGCACGAAACCAGCATGCAAAGGGACAAAAATTTGGGCAAGACCCCAGGTGTTGGAGGGTGTGGTTTTGGCAATTCTTCCTGATCTTTGGAGGGTGCGGCCGCAAGTGCGGCACAAGTACCGTTCCCATCCACGGCGGCCGCCCTCGCGCCGCAGGTATCTCGGACCTTGAGGAAGGCCGATCACCAGAGACGAGGATGTATTTAAAAGGGTCCAAAACACCTATGTATATTATAATTCATGTATAATATATATATATATATGTTTATAATTACATCACTATATATACAGTATATATTGTATTTTGTGTAATTATAGAACAAGCGTTTGTGCAAGGAGTTTCCGGGTTCCTCCCCTTAACAATGTCGATCGGCAAAGCCAGTTCAAGTGGGCCAAAATCACATCACGGTATGATGTGGATCGTCAATCAACATTTAGGGAATTTGAAGCCATCGACCTGACGTACCTGAGGTACCTCGTCCAGCGATTGATCGTCAAGTGGTGCAAACTCACCTGGGTTTTGTTGTTAGGCTTGTTCATAGGCTAGGTGTTCGTTTTCAACAGGTCATGTCCAAAGAGAAATGGGTGTGCATTAGAAGAGGGAGATCTCCAAAGATCCCCATTGTTCGGGGGGGGGTCTCATGATGAAACATACAGACCTATACAGACCTAAATCTTCATGCTTGTTTGAGCTACCAGCACGCTGAAGGCTGCAGTTGTCCTATTTGTTTTCAATCCAAGTAACCGACCTGGAGTGGAATTGAACTGTGAAATGACAACGCTTGGGAGACATGGTTTGCCACTTCCCGGGAGGTCGTTTGAATGTGGAGACACTGTGGAGTGAACGGCTGACATCTGTGGTAGCCTCAGTTTGATGTGGAAGGCTTTGGTTATATAGCCTTGGTGATCCTCAAAGCCTTCGTGTGTTTGTGCCTCCTACAGCCAACTTGGACCGGAAAATCAATAAACATCAGCTTTTGCCTGGGATATATATATATATATGTTGTTGTTTGATTCATTTTGCTTGTATCAGCCCAGATTCAACAAGGTGCATCGTCAGTTGGAAGAGATCTTGGGCGAGTTGCACAGGCACTCTCGACCTCAGACGATCTCAGATCTCTGGTGGTCATACGACCACCCGAAACAGACGTTTGTTAGATCCTTGGTTTAAGATCAAACAATAGTCTGGCCATGTCAGGCCAGAAACTATGGACGACAATGTATTCTCAGCAACTGGTTATCAGAAAGGAGACAGAGAATCGGACTGAGAACCGCAAAGTATAAACATGATAATTCCATATGGAGGGTGCTGCTAGGCCGAAAGCTGGGAGGCCAAGTCTAAAGAGCACGGGATGACTTCACAAACGCCAGCTGTTCCTCAAGGCAATCGAGTTTTGAAGCCAATTCTTTTCTTTTCTCACCACTCCCAATCTCTCTCTCTCTCTCTCTTTTGCAGCGGGTTCATCGTCAGTCGGTGGCAGGCAGCTGTGCGCCGACCATCATACGGCGATCCAAGCGCTGAGGGATGGACAGGCAGTGAGGGCATCACGGGCGTGATGGGCACCGGGTGTGATGGCCTCGACAGTTGGGAGGGCATGGTCAGTGGTCACCCGAAGAAGTATCAGCATCGAAAGCATCGAAGGACGGGAAAAGTCAGTGAGCAATGGCAAACACATGTGAACACATGTGAACACTGCTGCTTGTGCGCGTGACTGGCGGCCCCGGGCAGTGCGCCGATCGGCCAATGCGATTCGGAAGAGCGGTGGGGGTTTGACGCCTGGAGTTTTGGAGGTGAAAACCATCGAGGCTCTCGGCTCTTGTGGAACCAAAGCGACACCGAGCCGGAAGAGTGGTTGGTGTGCTCGGTGTGCCAGGGGTACAAATTGGACAGCAGGTGGCAATTGAGGTCAAGTGGAGGATAATCCAGGTGTAGATGTACTGTACATGTTCAGTCCTTTCTCCAAACAGCCCTGGCTGGAGAGCGTCACGAATCTGGGAGGTAGAATCAGTCAGATCAAACATATGCTGAAATAGACAATGTCGTGGATGAAGCAACTAGGTCCAGGTAACACTTTTGGACTGAATGGGGATTGGTTGCCTATTTTTGTGAGAAGATACTGCTGTAGAAGCTAGAACCTGTAATTTGCATGCACGAACTCGCATGTATTTGTACCAAACAAAAAAGTGTTCAGGTTTGGATGAATTGGATGCAGCTCGTGTCAGCACGTCTATAAAGTTCTCTCACTACTCACGTCATAGACATAGAACTAGCTTAGACGACACACACTAGGGTACCCTCTCATTTGATGTGTCAACTCCAGATTTCTGTCGTTCTTTTTTGTTTATGTATGGGTTGTCCAAACTGTTCGCTTCGTTTAATAGGGGAGGAGGCTTTCCAAAACACCTATAATTCACAGCTAAGCACATATATAATATGATCGAATATGATCCACATGTATTTGTACAAAGAACAGGCAAGAATTACCAGGTCAGGCACGAGGTGGGTTACGGCAATTTAAGGGTGTTGGATAGGGTAGTAATAAACAACTACAACGACAAATAATTACCACCACCACAACGACTACTACTACTACCACTACTACTACTACCACTACTACTACCACCACCACTACTACTACTACTAGACTACTACTACTAGTCTACTACTACTACTACTACGACTACGACTACGACCACTACCACTACCACTACTACCACTACTACCACTACTAGCACCTACCACCTACCACTGCGACTACTACTACAACAACAACAACTCCTACTCCTACTCCTACTACTACTACTACTACAACTACTACTACTACTACTACTACTACTACTAAATCCATGTGAACGGGACACCGTCAAAGCTTTCTCCACTGACCTACGCGGAAGCAGGTCCAACGTTTCTGCCGACAAGGATTCTGACTGGCAGGGGCTTTGCAACAAGGCCTTTGTTGGACGGACGGTCGGTCGAGCAGACAAAGGCAAAATCACAGTGGTCGTGGGTTTGCTTTTCTTTGAAAGGCAAAAACCCAGTTTCGCAGCCCAAGGCTGCGAAAATGCCTTTCAAAGAACAAAGTTAGCCCCACGACCACCCGAAACTGTGATTTTTCCATTCCCTGCTCAGCGCGCCATCCAACAGACTCCTTGCTAAGGGTGCCGGTCAAAAAGAATCTTTGCTAAAGAGCCCTGCTTGCCCCTGTCAAGGCGGCGGGGTAGAATTGAACCACCAAAGCTTGATGGGGGCCGTGGCTGGGCTGACAGTTTCGGGTGGTCGTGGGATTGCCGTTCTTTTGAAAGGCTTTTTCACAGCCTTGGGCTGCGAAGCTGTCATTTTGCCTTTCAAAGAGGGCCCTTCTTATTAGCTTGATGGAGGCCGTGGCCGGGCTGAGCAGAGAATGGAAGGATTCTGTTTGACGGGGGCGCTTCAACAAGGTCTCTCCTTTGGACGGGCGGTCGAGCAGAGAAAGGCAAAATCACAGTTTCGGGCGTCACTGAACATTGAACAAATCATGGTGTCAGGGCAGGTGGCCATGAAGACCTGGGTCCTGTTCAGTGACCCAGAGACCAATTACTGTAATATTAATGGGTTCCCAATTGCATGCTATGAAGGCAATGGTGAGTGGTTATGAGGGCTCTCCGGCCTTATTATTGGTCATTTAATTTAACCACGCTCCACCCTGCATGATCCGGAAATAGAGACGAAGCCAGCGAGTTGCTAAAGCGGGTTCAGTCAAACTCTCTCGCCGGAGACACCCTCTTCAAGTGCGGGCGACCGCCACGGCGAGGCAGTGGGTCATAATAATGATGGGCGATGTTTGGCACTTCCGCTACTTGTAGCATCAATTGATGGATTGATGGGAAACGCGCAACATTGGCAACATGATTTCTTTGCTTTAGCGAAATTATGTTAGGGGCGGTGGAAGCCTCCAGCGGTTGCTTGCGATGATTTAAGTAATGATTTCCCCTTCCCTGCAACCACCCTGCGCCGCTCTGTTTTTAGGAGTGATCTGGCTTGCTCGAGTATTTGTCGACTGTGGTCTATTGCAATCTAATCTGTGGTCTATCGACTCGCTGCTGCATGCTGCTTGCTCCTTGCTGCTTGCTGCTGTTGCTTGCATCTTGCTGCTGTTGCTTGCACCTTGCTGCTGCTGCTGCTGCTTGCATCTTGCTGCTGCTGCTGCTGCTGCCGCTGCTGCTGCTGGCTGCTTGCTCCAGCTCAGAATCTTCCAACTAAGGTAGCTATGAAAGGCCGAGGTCGTGTAAACCGTTTCGAGGGTTCACCGCAAATGAAAGGATAAAGCTATATTTTTTCAAAGATGGGGTGTTGTGCTAGTGGGACCATGTGCGTGGGCAACTTTTTGTGATACGAAAAATTCTTCTGTGTTTCTCCCTGGGGCACTGAATTTGTGTTTTATCAGTCAAAGGACGCGACACACCTTTCATTTTTTAGGGTTCCAGCGATGCGAAAATAGTCGACAGATGGTAGATTTTTGTGCGTGTGTGTGTGTTGTCTATAGCTGTTGATAGGCATTGAAGGGAAAGCATTTCAAGCAACAGTTGGACAGGGACAGTTGGCACCCCATCCCTGCAAGCCTTTGGATATGTATATATATATATAATGAGAGCTGTAGCTGCAGGAAACAAGAAACAAACAGTGAGACTTAGACTCGGAGACAATCTTCCAATAGGGCCAGTTGATGTGATATAACCTAGCAATCCATGTTTAATTGCCATGGTTTGCAAAATGGTGGTCAGCTCTAGTTCTCCTGCCATGGACCATGGAGCCTGTGGTGCTTGTCCCAGACTTCAAAGAGCAGAACCTAGTGCTTGGTCGGCAAACTGCCAAAGAAAATAAAGAAGTTTTTCCTTTGACAGTCCATGTTTGCAAAGCAAATGGGCGATTGGCTTCTGACGGATGGTCTTTGCTGCACAGTGCCAAATGTACTGGCTGCCGAGCGCTAAAGAGAGGCACCTCTGAGTATAATCTTTTGGGCGATGCTTGGGTTACTGACACTTTGGAAAGGGCGCCCAAAAAGGCCAACACAAGCAGAGCTGACGAAACTATGGAAGAGCGTGTGCTTTGGGAATGTTCCCATGCCTTTGTGTACCACCAGCCAATTCACATCCATGCCTCGCAAATGTCAGGGAATCAAATGCAGCCTCTGCAAAGATTGCCCAAGAACCTGCAGGCATGCGTGGTTGGCCGAGCAGGTGTGTGGTCCACGAATGAAGATGAGGCCGTGCAAGAAGGCACTTTGCCTCAAACTTGGGCAACTGGATATCTCTTCAGGGTTCCAGGAGCTGTAGCCCAAAAACCTCTCCAGCTAGTCACACTTTACAGTCCGTGCAAGAGGTTGAGAGTTGAGCCACCAGCAGGAACTTGTGCTGAATCACTAGCTGTCGCGTTGGCCGAGAGTAGTCAGCCAAGTGCTTCTGCTTCAGGAATTCAGCCTGGTCGCTTTGAGAGCCGAGAAGAATATTACGCGCGAGGTGCTGGCTGGGGAAATCCCAAGTCTGAAAGAAGTGGATTGCAAGAAATTTTGTTTGGGCAAATGGCATATGTGCTCCAAAACTTCGATGCAGCCAGCGATATTCTATCTCTTTGCGCCCGTATTTTGGACCCAGATGGCTCCAAACTGAAAGGAGAATGCTGCCCTGTCCCTGGCAGAGACACCATGAGAAGGACTTTGATTAAGTTGGATTTGTTTTTGATGCTGAACCGAAGAGTCTTTCATAGCCCCCGCGACCCAGGCCATTATGTGCACCGTTTTCTCAGCAGCGATGCTTCCCCTCAGGCCCATCAAAACTTTTTTTGCACCATTGAGGACATAGTGAGACAGCCCAGGATTTTCCATGCTTCACAGCAATTTAATGCCTTCCAGTCTAGCTTTGAAGTGGAAAGGAGGAGCCTTCCAGCCTTGACTCTGGGTAAGGGGGAGGCCTCCACAGCACAGAAGGCCCGTCTACTTCTGCACTGCGCTTGCCTTGAATATGGCCAAGACAATTTGAAGACTTGGCGGCAGCAGGTTGTATCTTGTCTGAGCGACCAAGGGACTGAGAGGGGGCTACCATCTTTTCCCATCAACATTGATGGCGAGCTTGGTGACTTTGTCCAGGCATTGTCACGAGGAGCGCAACAAGGATTAGAAGACGTCCCTGTACTCTTTCCTCGCTCTTTATCGATTCCAGGATTTCTACACATTATCTTCAACGGCCTAGAGGAGTCCCTTGAGCAAATCGACGAGTGGAAATTGATGGAAAGACAATTGCAGGCTGCGTGCCATGTGGTGTCAGATCCATCATCTCAAAGCGTGTTGCTGGAGAAACTGTACAAGGATGCCCCTTCACACGAGCGAGGGGCCATTGAGGCCTTCAAGACAAAGTTGTTGAGCTGGCGTTGGCAAACTTTGCAGGAAGTTGTCCAACAATGGTTTGCTGTGTATGGTTCTCTGAAGGAACGATGGGACCCTTCCATCTTTGGAGACTCAACGAATAAATATGTTGATGTTGTTGGAGAAGCTCTCAAC